AATCGAAGGACAGACTGGGTCCTATAGCCTTGGTTGGCAATCAGTCTCCGCAGAAAGAAACGTCAACCTATTGCCTTATTTTTATTCAGTCAATCATGAACCGAAAGAGACGTGTTAAAATTTGGTGCTGAACATTGTTCTGTGTTAAGAATAATCCAAATATATTCCTTCCGTGTTTTTCTGCTTATCAGACGCATCTTTTTCTTACAAAATAGGAAGGCAGATATTGCAGAGACTTCTTCATCGCTTATGAACTAACCCAGATCGTTAAAGAACTCACCCGAGTCCCGGATGTGACGAGACAGAAGGAGAACCTTCTCGAACTTTTCTAACATCCGGCCCTGACAAATAAAGGCTCAATAAAAAGTTTTACCTCCGCCATTAGCACGTCAGACCATTCTCGAGTCCAGATTGACTCCAAACCAATGACATCTCCTGATTTACCATTCCATAGAACAGTTTTTCGCTACGCAGAGACAAACTGGGATAGCTTCCGGTCATATAGGCCGGAAGCTCCTCATCAAACCTTCTTCAAACATGCTGCCGCCAAAACTGCTGCCCTAATCTCCGAATGGATCCTTTCTGGAAGGCAGTGTTTTATAACTGTTGCAGTTTTTTGTGTATATGTATGTACTAGTGAGCAAGTCAAAATGAGTTGACTCACTTTATAGTCCACCAATAGAAGGTTAACCAATCAGAAGACGTAAAATATTCAATCCGTCGTGTATAAAGGCGGCCATTTTGTTTACTCTCTCCGAATGTCCAGTGCCAACTTGTCAGGCGAAAGAACAGAAGGAAGAACTACTGAACTACGCTCTGCTACTTTTACCGGGATATCCACTGCTAACCTGAACTACGCTTCCCTACTGTCTTCGAAATATTCACTGCTAATCTTTGGATTCTATACTCAAAGACAACCGCCATCATGGACAACAATAACCACAAAACATTCAGCAAAAATCAGTCAGTCCTGATTATCCTTCAATGTTCTGCAGCTATATCTCACCGGAACCACAACTTCAAAATCTATAGAAAGGAGCCGTTTAGTCTGGTCCTTAATTCTTTCAGAACTACCTGTAATTGCTGTAAGAGAGTCCCGGAAAACGCAAAGTGAAGCTGCGCATGATCTGTCTCCTTGTACCACTCCAGTAAGTACCTGATTCCTCAAGTTATGTTCTTTATCATTTGTTATTCCTCATTCGTCTTTATCTGGATGAAGAGTTAGTAATCTTCGATCGAATATCAGAGACGACTGACAATATTCTCACAGAATTTCCATCATCCAGCTTTCACATATGCGGCGACTTCAATGTTCACCATAAATTTACATTCCCTCACCACCGATCAGACCCTGAACTACCGGCAGTCACGATGAACGAATGTCTCCTCGAGGAAGTCCGGTGCCTTGAGAGGATAGGCCTCAAATTCACACCCCGTTCCATGTATTGCTCTAGTAAGCATCTGAATCCTCATATTATCCTCTAGCAAAACTGATGAGGAAGGCAGATATTACAGAAACTTCTCCATCGCCTATGAACTAACCTGACCTCCTGTAACTGTCTGTCTGACCTCCTGTCTGTCTGTTCAATCCCATGGCAGATGACAATCCCGGCCTACTCACCGATTATTCCAAAATACGACCACCTAAATCGCCATAATCACGGATTCAGTGCTTACATCGAGGACGTGTTTCCCTGTGGCAAGGACATACAAAACGAGAACCATGATCTCCCGTATGTGTTTCCGCGTGGAACGTCTATAGTACCACATTCGTCTTTATCTAGTATAGTCTTCAGGGTAACGGGTCGGTAATCTTCGATCGAATATCAGAGAGGGTTGACAATATCCTCACAGAATTTCCATCGTCCATCTTTAACATATGCGGTGACTTCAATGTTCACCACAAATTTACATTCCATCACCGCTGATGAACTACCGCCAGTCACAATGAACGGATGTCTATTCGAGGAAGCCCGGCGCTTTGAAGGAATGTTGGGCTTCAAATTCACACCCAGCTCCATGTATTGCTCTAGTAAGCACCTGATTCGTCATGTTATCCTCTAGCAAAACTGATGAGGAAGACAGATGCTGCAGAGACTTCTCCATCGCCTATAAATTAACTTAGATCAGTGAAGAACTCACCCGAGTCCCGGATGCGACGACAGCGGCCCTAGCAAATGCTCAACGAACGTTTTATCCACGCCATTGACACATCAGACCATTTTTGAGTCCAAATTGACTCCAAATCAATGACATCTCCTAATTTGCCATTCCATAGAACGGTTTTTCGCGACGCGGAGGCAAGCTGGGATATAAAAATATATATATCACTACCTAAATCGCTACGGTCAAGGACTTGGTGCCTACAACAAAGACGGGTTTCTCTATGGCAAGGACGCAAAAAACGAGGAGCCTGATCTCTATTATATCTGCTGCCGTGTGGACCTTATCCATAGTACCACATTCGTCTTTGCTCTGTATCGTCTTCAGGGTAAACGGTCGGTAATCTTCCATCGAATATCAGAGACAATTGACAATATTCTCACAGAATTTCCAGCTTTCACATATGCGGAGGCTTCAATGTTCATCGCAAAACCGATGAGGATGGTAGATATTGCAGACTTCTCCATCGCCAATAAACTAAGCCACATCGTTGAAGAACCCACCCGAGTCCCAGATGCGACGGGACAGCGGGATAACTTCCTTGATCTTTTTCTAAAAATGCTCAGCAAAACTTTTACCCCCGCATTGGTACTTCAGACCATTCCTTCGTCAGTGTCCAGGGATTGACTCCAAATCATTGACGTCTCTTGATTTACCATTCTATAGAATGGTTCTTCGTTATGCGGAGGTAGACTGGGACAGCTTTCGGTCCGATATGACGGAAGTTTCTCTCCCAACTTTCTTCAAACAAGCTGCCCACCAAAACTGCTGCCTCCAAAACTGCTTCCCCCAAAACTGCTTCCCCCAAAACTGCTGCCCACAAAACTGATGCCTCCAAAACTGCTTTCCCCAAAACTGCTGCCTCCAAAACTGCTTCCCCAAAACTACTTCCCCAAATCTGCTGCCCCCCCCCAAAACTGCTGCCTCCAAAACTGCTTCCCCCAAAACTGCTTCCCCCAAAACTGCTGCCTCCAAAACTGCTTTCTCCAAAACTGCCCAAAACCCCAAAACTGCTGCCTCAAACTGCTTCCAAAACTGCTTCCCCCAAAACTGCTGCCTCCCAAAACTGCTGCCTCCAAAAACTGCTGACCCCAAAACTGCTGCCTCCAAAACTGCTTCCCCTAAACCTGCTGCCTCCAAAACTGCTGCCTCCAAAACTGCTGCCCTTATCTCCGAATGGATCCTTTCTGGAAGGGAGTGTTTTATATCCACAAAAAAAAAAATTCAGCAAAAACCAGTCAGCCCTGGTTTACTCCTGAATGTTCGGCAACTATATCTCACTGGAACCACTAATTCCAAATCTATGGCAAAGAGCGGGTTAGTCTGTCCCTAAATTCTTTCATAACCGCCCGCAATTGCTGTAAGGGGGTCCCTGAAAACGCAAAGTGCAGCTATGCACGATCTGTCCAGGCCAAGATTGAAAAGAAAAAAAGTGAGTTTTGTGAATTCTGGAAGATCCCCAACCAAATTATGAATATAGACAAAGCGGCTGTGAGTACTATTATAAATGGCCCCGATGTCATATCCACCTCAACAAACAAGGCGAAGTTCTTCGCCTCGATCTTTGCTTCAAAATCAACGCTAGATGACACGTATCACTGAGTACAGATCCAGTGACAGGACTCACCCTCCTGCATAGCAATGAATACTGGACAATCTCCTGAAAGATGAAGAAGAGACTTGAAGCAACAGAAATGTGGTTCTACAGAAAGATGCTGAGGATAATATGGACCGAACATGTGAGCAGCGACAAGGTTTTGGAGAAAATGGAAACAAAAAGGAAATTTATACTTAACATCAGGAACAATTTTCTTTATTTGTTGACAATCTTTTTTCTTTTTTTCTCATTAAATGTTGAATTATAATAAACAAAGAATAAATAAAAGAAAATTTAAGAATTTTAATTATTGTCTCTTTTTTACAAATTATAATAAATTATTTTGCTTGTATTGAATAATAAATTTCGCTACACTTTTCGCCCGATTCATTTAACGCTTCAAAACCCTTCTGGGGTAGAGAGTGTCGGCTTCTAATGCACAGATTATCTAACATAAACTTGATCGATACACTTGAACCCCCAGAAAAAAGCAGGGATTATTTTGCAGTAGTTCAGTATTTCAAAACTCTATCAACTTAACTCAATTAAATAAAAAAAACAGCATCGGTATTCATGTGACAACTTCCTAAAATGATGGATCCTTTAAAAATTGCAAGTGCAGATATCTGTCTATATTTCTGAGATGAGGTATTATGTACATTATTTACATTAGTTGGACTATCACTCATCACTATTTACATTATTCGGATTTTGTCTTCATCTTTGTCGCAATATTTATCACAACGGTTCAGCCGTTGTACGCTCCGGCCTTCTTCAGGTGGTTGAAATGTAGA